AGGCATGTGGGTAGAGGCAAGTAAGTGTCCCCCCTCCCTGAGAGGCTGGGTCCATCTTTGGGGAGTGGTTAGGGTAAGCAGTGCCCCCCTTCCCATAAATGGCACCTTGCATCAGTCCCAGAATTCCTTGCACCTCCCCAGTGGCAGGAGGGGACAGAGGGGGCTGGTTCTGGGAGGGGGGGCTGGCCCCTCCAGGGGGGCTGGCTCGGACCAGCTCGCACGTGTGTGTTTCCAGCGCCGATTTCTCCGCTGGCTCCCAGCCCACAGGGCCTCTCTCCCACGAGCTGGATGGGCACCAGCACATTCCTGTGCCTGCTACATTTCCCCTGGAACTGGGGGCGGCTAGCACCGGGGGCTGAATCACCCCCGGCTCCCCCGCAGCCGGGGGCCAGGCTGTGTCTGGGCACACCCCCTCCCAAGGCAGGGAGGGGCCCTGCTCCCCAACAGGCCCAGGGAGAAGGGGGTTTGTTCCTTGGATACAAAGCTGCTTGTTCCCACCCCTTCGCCCTGCACTGCTACATTTCCCCTGGAACTGGGGGCGGCTAGCACCGGGGGCTGAATCACCCCCGGCTCCCCCGCAGCCGGGGGCCAGGCTGTGTCTGGGCACACCCCCTCCCAAGGCAGGGAGGGGCCCTGCTCCCCAACAGGCCCAGGGAGAAGGGGGTTTGTTCCTTGGATACAAAGCTGCTTGTTCCCACCCCTTCGCCCTGCACACTGGCCCCAGGTGCCTCCAAGGAAACAGAGGGCCAGCAACAGGGACTGCCTGGAAAGCGCCCCCTTCCCCTGCAGCTGCCACCCAGCCAAGGGCAGAGCCTGGGTATCCTGGGCCCAGTCAGGCCTGCCATGCCGCTGGCCTCCTTTAGCGCCTGCCGTTGGGCCTTGGGAGCCGAAGTGCCCCCACATTACCCAGAGGGAAAGGCCAGCAGGGGACTGGAGAGCCAGGCCGACCGGGTCCCATCCCCAACACTGGGAGGGCAGTAGGGTTTGGGGGGGAAGGGGGTGCAGTGTGTGGGGGGTGCGCGTGCGCAGGAGTAGGACTCCTGGGTTCCATCCTGAGCTGACAGCTCACTTCCCTTCATTACACCCCAGCTCCCTCAGCAGCTTCTCCCTGGGTCTGTGCAGGCTGTGGCATGCTCCCCCCCCCCGACGGGCCACTTCCCAGAGCTGCCCTCCTGCTACCAGCCAGGTCTTTCGGCCCCGAGGGGCAGGCCAGCAGCAGCTGAGGCCACAAGGTGCGGACGGCGACAACGGAGCCACCCCAGCCAGGGCAGCGTGCAAGCACGAGTGGGGGAGCAGGTCTCTGCGACTCAGGGGAGCGGGGCGGCAGCAGGCTGGCGACGAGCCCTCGCCAAGGAGCACAGGACGGCATCGCTACGTACAAAAACTTAAAAGATTTTATTGGTCTTATAAAAAGAAGCAGGTTCTACTCCCGTCTAAGGGCTATGTGGGACACATGCACAGGTTACAGCTAGGGCACCCAACCCCGCCCTCCTCCAGCCAGGAGAGACTTGGGGTGCCCTATGGGACCTCCCAAGAGACCCCTCTAACTTTCAGCAGTTGGCAGTCTCATGGGCGGCAGCACAAGTCGCTCTCTGCATGGCCTGGGTGGGGAGAACGGGGCTGGAGGAGCCAGGCGAGGGGCGAGGCCTCTGACGGGAAGACCAGCTCGGAGGTGGCAGGAAATCCCTCCACAAGAGGAAAGCCCAGGTGGGCATGGAAGGGCCAAGAA